ACATTTTGTGAGGTTTTTAGCAAAAAAAAAAAACTATTTGTGAGGTAAAATTCAATGAGTTATTCTTTCCATACGGTTTTGGAAGTATAAAAGTTGGATAAAAATAGGGTGATTTGCAAAAATAAGACGAGAGGTCAAATAAGTGTTGGAACTCATTTTTAACGAAATAATTTTAGACTATTTTTCGGTTGGTTTTTTCGGTGGAGACGTTCATCAGGATGACCAGATTTTAAACATGATGGAATTTTCGCCGCGAGCATTATAACGTAGTGTATCTATTTATCAAGATTGGAGTTAGTTTGAACGAGAAATGGAAATCCAAAGTGGGTGACTTAAAATGTTTGTAAAGATTTAAATGTTTGTAAAAACTAGCAAATGTCTCACATTGGAAACTAGAGATGAAATATCTCTTGGAAACCTTTGATACAATTTGGTGTATTGGAGAAAGAAAAAATTCGGACCGGATTTCGGCTTTGGACTTTGAAATTTGGTAAATGAGTCAATGGTTCAAAAAATATCTCTTTTGGTCCAAATTCATTTTGGATTATGTAGTTGTTTTAAAATAAAATAAACACAACCAATATCTCCTTAATTGATTTTTGCTTGTAACGTCGAGAAATCAAATGTCATTAATTTTGGTAACGTCAAACAAGAAATCAATTGTGTTTATGAGAGAATAATTTTCTTGTCTCCTCTTTATTGCTTATGTCGAGCACTTTGGCTATATATGAAGCCATCATCTTTCTCATGAACACACACAAATCCAATTAAGCAATCTCCTCACAATCTCTTTTATTTCTTAATTTTGTGTACAAATAGATTTTTTTGATTCGCCAACTTCTATTCTTGAGTGTTGCGGAGTAGCCGATCGTGTGGTTGTATTATGAGATTCTGACTACATCAAAACCGTCACACTGTGGATAATTAAAAAATTAAGAAAAAAGTGTCTCGACTCCACACAAACCAAACTGATTCTGGCTATTTTGTATATGTTTTTTTATCATTAATGTAACCTTATTGTAGAAATTGTACTTCTACAATGAGAACTGAAGACTTGATAAATTATTTTGTTAGAAATGCATCAATGAAAGATAACACAAGGAGATTTCAAATTGTAACTACCGGAAGAGTCTGTACACAAATGAGATCTCCTTGTGTTATCTTTCCACTGATGCATTTCCATCAGAAGTATAGTAGAGTA